CAATGGTCTAACGACTACGGCATGCACGACTATGAGTACACCCCCTCGCTATGGGTCATGCCAAAGCAAAACCTTCCCGAGGCAGCGAGGGGAAGAAGAGATTATTTATGTACCTGTCAGGGTATGCTACCAGCTGGTTCCGGGAAATGGACCAAAATATATTCAACCACTCCTGCCAGACGAATTTTGTACATAATGTTGACAAAAGCAGTATCATAGTGACCCCCACGAGCAAAGGAACAAATCGTCGTGGCCGGAATTTTGATTTAAGGCTTCGCTGGGAAGATATGGGCTATTACGTGCCTCAGCCGACGAGGAGCCTCCAAATATTTCGATGATATGCAGGCTTTTCCCAAAACGGGGACAAGAAACATAATTACGCCGCATTTTTTTTTTTATTATCTCAGCCGTTGTCGCAGCTCCTGCTGCACCGGTGCTGCTGTACAACCAGCTGAGTACCTCTGCACACGCGTCTCGTACGCAAGGAGACCCTCCACAATGGAGCCACTACAAAGTGTGGATCCCTACGTGGACACCCACAAACGCAACGTATCGCAAGTTTGCGCAGTGCAGTGCAGCAACACAAAGGCTCAGATGCACGTATCACCTACGGCCACATGCCACGGGGCATTCGCAAGAATACCGCCTTCAAGTATGAGACGAAGGCGGAAGCGCTCGGAGACGCGGACAACTGGACAAGTGAGCTGGAGAAGCCCATGCGAAGGCGGAGCTTGTCGCCCAAGCACGGTGAGTCTACGATTGCTGAGCGGAACTTGCTGCACGTAGCTACTGCTGCGGCAGTTGCTGTACAGCAGTACTGCTGTACAACCGCAGCAGCAGCAAAGCGGCAGGGTGTGTACTCCGTGGTGGGTTGAAACATGCAGCAAAGTAGCAACCAGGCGGGCGCGTTGCTAGCACGGTGGTGACACGTGCAACAACACTAGCCGGCGTTCATGCGTACGGTTGGTGCGTGTTTTCCATGACAAGTGTAGCTGTGTGAAAAAACGGCAAGTTGCAGTGCAACAGCATCCATGTGTATGTATGTACTGGAGAACCTCGACACGAATCCTGTTGTTTGAATCGGACAATCTTGAACAGTAGACGAGTTGTACAGCATGCAGCAGTGCAGTACTACTTGTATTGATACAAAATAGTGTAGTGTATTGTACAACCCATCTCTGATTTGTACTTCTAATAGAACACAGCAGTGCTCAGCAGTACGCTATTAGTGTACATACAAGAAGTACAAAGTGGTTCTACACGCCAGATCCGAACTTGTGTTTACAAACTGTCTCTATTTTATGGAACGCACCAGGGCATACAGCAGCAGCACGCAATTGTACAAGAACACATTGTGTACAAGTCAGGCCCGAACTTGTACACATGCAACCCGTCTCAAAAACAAGGTGCCCAACTCTTACAAGTCGAGTCCAGCAGCAACCGACACAAGGGCATACCGCACCCACAGATAAACACAAACACCAACATTGGCTTAGAGGGGCTGCCGTATTGCAGGACGGGAGGCTGTGTGTTCTGCAAAGTACAAGGATTGACATTCACGGGTTATTCTTCAATTCGAGTAACGGTCCTCTAGCAGGCGCTCTTTGTTTGTTTTTACCAAGACACAGTCCTTGTATCCAAGCTTTATCGCACAGTTTAATGAACAGCCATACTATCGCCGTATGTTCCGGTCTGTCCTCCGTTAAAATTACCCCCCACCGGTGTTCAGGCACGACGCCGAACTGCGAAGTCGCCAAGAAGTGTGCCATCCAAAAACAAGCGGAACGCGCCAGAGCTTTGAGGGGGTTGCAGCAAGAGGCCAGAATCCTGATGCGCCTACGCTGCAGAAGGTTGCGTAACGCCAGACTCGGGCGCCGGGCGTTTGCGTACGTCAGGCGCGATCGCAAATCAGAACAGCGGAGGAGATACATGGAGCGGCGGGTTGCAGAGTGCGACCAGGAGGATGCTTCAATGGACGCACAGGCCGTGGCTATGTTCTCCACGCTAACGAAGGGGCAACACGTCACGCTGCTGGAGTCTCACGAGCAGCCACCCCCGGTGACTGATGCACCCACGAGCGACATCAGCGTGGCCGACCCTCCGGAGGTTCTCGCCGCACACGCAGCGGCCGCGGTGTGACCCTCAGCAAACCGGTCCATGCATGTTGGCATGTTTGCGTTCTCGGTGCATGAATCAACAGTGTTTTATCACCCAGTTCAGCTGGCACAAGGCCGCGCTGCGATGATAAAAAATCTCTCTTCGGGGCAGCACGGTCGGTGTTTCCGTCTAAAAAGTAGGTAGATTCTCTTGCAGACCCCAACATGCCGGTAACATGGCTGTTTGTGATTCTTTCTCTAACCAACGACACCGTTACAGTGCAATGAAGCTTCGCATGGAGTTTCGTCGACATCGCCCATAAACTGACCTAATACGGTCGAAAAATGGTCGATTTATGACTTGCCGTCGATGGGCCAAACTGCGTTGGAGATAGCCTCTTTTTGCGGGACCCCAAAAATCTGTCCCAATATGTGATTTCNATCTCTCTTCGGGGCAGCACGGTCGGTGTTTCCGTCTAATAAGTAGGTAGCATGNTCCATGCATGTTGGCATGTTTGCGTTCTCGGTGCATGAATCAACAGTGTTCTCCACCCAGTTAAGCTGGCACAAGGTCGCGCTGCGATGATAAAAAAATCTCTCTTCGGGGCAGCACGGTCGGTGTTTCCGTAAAAAGGGCCCGCCGCACAGCGTTTCGTATTGACCCAAGGTATATGTGTGCAAAGTCTCAGAGTCTAATTCATAAAAACGNATATACCTTGGGTCAATACGAAACGCTGTGCGGCGGGCCCTTTTTCATTTACTTCTATGGTCGCCGGTTATTCGGGGTCCCAGGAGCCGCGCACGGACCCGAAATCTCTAGGACCCCGGATATCCGGCGACAGGGAAAAAAAAAAGGGCCCGCCGCACAGCGTTTCGTATTGACCCAAGGTATATGTGTGCAAAGTCTCAGAGTCTAATTCATAAAAACGGCGTGAAGTTTTGCTGTTGAATCTTGTTATATCCATTTCCCTGAACCAGCTTGTAGTCTAGACCATTAATTAAGGTCGGCGGAACAACCAACACGTACAGTAGAGGTCCCTGTTTAGTGCCGGTTGCCGGTATAGTGCCGGTCAAATCTCGGCGCACAGAACCCGCCCTGAATAGTGCCAGAGCGGCACTACTCAGGGCTGCCCACCATAGTGCCGGTTCGGGCCCCACTGAACCCCACAATAGTGCCGGTTCAAACACGCACGCACACACAACACACGAGAGACTCACACAACACAGAAGACAGACACAGAGGAGAGGGTACACGTGCTGCTACAGACCCGAACAGCTCTAGTGAGGGCGGGGGTTACAGCTACAGCGGCTGTTTGATTTCTTGCATGTCCCGTTCTTGGGTCGTTTTATTTTTTCATCTTGTTCTGGTTACATCGAAGGAGGGTGGTGAGGAGGAGGCAGATTTCGCTTCCTCCTTCACCAATAGGTGGTGCCAGCAGGAGCTTCGCAAAAGTGTAACCGCCAAACATCCATGGGCTTCATGATCAGTGGTTTGCTTTCGCTGTCGAGGAGTGATGTTGAGGTTGCACGAAATGGTTTGATCCGTGTAAGGCCAGTGCCACGGCATTCTTGCCAACAAAATATTGGACACCTATGAGGTGCATCCTTTGCGATATTCATGTGAAGGGTTGAAGTCAGGTTGTGCAAGTGTGCAGTACGTGCCCTGAGGTGGGTACAGCAACAAGGTGCAGCATGTGTGTCCCGTCCAGTTAACTTATTAAGCAACATGTGTGTGTTCGATAGGGCAGTAACCACCCCTACCGTGGCACAGCAGAATGCCCGCGACGCCCATGCCATGATCTCACCTTGTACGTTTCATGTGGTAGTCTGTTGGCCCCGCCAAGCAAAGCGCTGCACTCTGAAATCACACAGTTCGTCAATGGTGCCGGTCTGGCACTATTGAGGGATTTTCAGACCCTGAATAGTGCCCCTTTGGCACTATTCGGGCACCCTGAAGAATAGTGCCGGTGCCCGGTATAGTACCGGTGAATTTTTTGCGCACACATCGGCACTAAACAGGGACCTCTACTGTACATGCAAGTAGAGCACACACACACGCAGCACTGCTGTGCTGTTGTAGCAATCACCGCGCGAGGGCGAGATCAATTTCGCTTGAGCAGTTCTGTTTTCACTACTGCTGTACCATCTCTGCTGTTGTAGCACTCCACGTGTATTGTCATCCGCAAGTGCAGGACACGAAGGACATCGGCTAGCCACCGACTGCATGGCGGTGATGCCGTGACGCGCCGCGAAATGTTGCAGCGTGGTATTGGTCAAAGAAGGAGTTGAAGACTTTCCGGAACACAAACCCGACTCCCATGGTTGGAATTTCCCAGCCCGTCGCGACCTTCATGGCATGTGTGCACAGGAATTTTCTTGCTGTTGTTTCTCATATTAGCTCTTTAGTCCATAAAAAATGCTGAAAAAATGGACGTATGATACCAGCTGTGATCAGAGGCCAACCCGATTCATCGTCGCGGAAGCATAATTGAGCAAACAACATGTATCTATTTTTACGGCAGACCAAATCATGAATGCAGGTTATTTCTATTCACTTCTCTCAAGGAGCCTACGCAAGAGACTCACGAGAGAACGTTCATGTCCACCAGTGCTTCTTCGCCTCCACGCTCGACAGCATCACCAGTGGCGTTGTCGTCGTCGTCATCGTCATCATCATCTTCACCAACGTCCACCGGCACCGCGAAAACATCAACGTTTGAATCGACGACCATTCCTCCCATGCCGATGCCGCCTGCGAACAAGATCACCGCTGGATCGTCGACCATGACGGCGCCCATGAATCCTCTCCCTCGAGACAGCAACAGCCCTTCCGCCGCCGTTCTGTCCGGAGCAGCTGTCTCGCCATCTCGAACGAGGAATGTACGGCCGCATGATTTCTTTGAAGAAGCAACAACAGCGTGGTGGTCGGCGGCAACGGCAAGGCGGAGCAGGTCGATCCACAACAGCAGCAGCACTGCTGCAGCACCCGGGAGGAAAGGGCGAAGGCATCGCCCATCTCGACTGGGACGAAAGCGGAGGCGCCACGCCAGCGGCAGCGGCCTCCTGTGGCTGCGTCTCATCGAACACGCGTGTGCTGAGCAGTACGACAGCACACCAGGCCAGGCGGGCGGAGTAGCGACCGGCCAGTAGCAGGGCGTTCCAAAGCATGCGTCGAGCAGGGGATGGGGGCTGCTGCTTCATTGCTTGTGCAAGCCAACCAACAGGCACTGGCGTTTTCCGTCTGAGCAACTTCCCAACAAAACATACAGATAGATACACAAGATGGCTATCAAACTGCCTTGTTGAGCCTGCTACCCACAGGGGAGATGTCGTTGTATGCTGTCTGGGAAACCGTAGACATACAGGTAGCTTTTCGCTTACGCTATGGATTCATTGCTAATCTGTCTTAGACTTATTCCTATCTAGATAGAGATGGATTTGTTGTGTGATACAATATACCAAGAAAAGAAAGCCAAACGGCCGATTCCGCCGCATATTTGGCAACAGCGCCAACACAACAACCGCTGTTCATCCCTTCTTGTGGTGGCATCAAGCCAAGGCCTGATCCACTCCAAGAATCCAGCTCGTGCATCACCGAACCCAGATTGCGGGATCGAGCAGCGTATCTCCTTGCGCATAGGCAATATGACTCGTGCCGGTGGCTTCTTCGCCGCGCTCATCGCCGTGCTGCTGTTCATGGTCACCAACCTTTCTCAAGCGCTAGATTCCTCTGCCTTTGAGGCCTCGCTGGATGCCGCTGAGGAAGCTGTTGTCGCCAGCACTGCGAGCCGCACGGGTGGGTAAATAGGGGAGGCGAACAGATAAGCAGACTGCTGTAGAGGCAGAGAGACCGGTGGAAGGGTACAAGAGGCATAGAGAGGGAGACGGACAGTCTAGAGGCACAAACATAAGATTGCATCCGGCAATCCTCCATTTCGCGCGGAAAGACATTCCAGCGCACACGCATCATGTAGTGTCTAAGCCCAGGATCGAAAGTCAGGGGCCATAAGGAGGGGGGGGGAGTTGTTGTTGTTGTTGGAGTGGGCCGGGAGTGGGTGGGGATATTTACAACGAGATTACCAAGTTGTATGATGAGGCGGTTTGGCGGAGGCCGGAACATGAAAATAGTACACCGGGGATCCCCGAATTGATACTTTTTACGCAATGCACAGATGCTGAGAGGCATTTTCGCTGAGGCTGCCGCTGCTGCTGTTGCTCTGTGCGTGCGAATGTTGTCTGGGCATAGTGACTCCCGAGAAGTGGCGGGCATCACCCCGCGACCTCAATGCGGGTCTTTGGGAAGCTTCTCACGCATACCTCGAAAACAGCCTGTTGGACGCAGCCTCTATTACAGAAGACTACACTGTTGTCTGAGGAATAGTCTACTACATGCACCTGCTGTAGTCACCGCAGCAGGTCAATCTGTGGGTCGCATACCTCTCTCCCTGCTCTTTGATCGTGTGTTCATGTGCCAATGAGCGTATAAGCTCTTCGTCGCGACGTCGCGGATACACTAGTGGCAGCACACGCACAGCGGGGGACGGGGCGCTCGAAATGGATTTCTTGAAGCGGACGGACTTGGCCCCCGAACAGAGTTCAGTTATCGATTGTAGGCAGGGGGGCGGCCGTAGCCAAGGAGCTTCTCTTGTTCTGTAGGGACGGATCATGATATTTTTTCGCGAACCGATGGATTTACTAGATGAAAGGTAAAGGTTACTATTTTTCACGCCACAGTTGTTGTTGTTGTTGATGTTTCTCACATTAGCTCTAAAAAAGAAAAATTGGGAGCCCGTGGTCTCAAAACCCGGCATACACGACCCCACGAAGAAACAGAAAAAAATAGGGTACAAAAAACACTCGGAAGAGAAACAAAATGATAGAAAGAAACACCAGCTACCGCACCAAACGAGAAAGAGCGTGGAGGAAACCGATCGAAATAAAAGAACGGGGAACGCTTCCCACACCCGCCTACAACGCCGGAGGGTTCCGTGCCGGGTTCCCGCCGACCAGGCATCCTCCGCCCTGCACCACACCCCAGGGGGTGCAGCAAGACGGGGGGCGAAAAACAAACACATATATATTCCCACAAAAATAAAAAAATAAAAAACCGAAGGACAACGTACACCAGTACCAGGTACTACAGCAGTGCAGTATGCACCAGCGCATTAGTGTAGGGTAGGCACCGCACCAAAGAGGCAGCAGAGGTGGCAGGCAGCCAGCAAAGGAAAAACAAAAATAACAAGGAGCTCGAGGTATCGTCCAAGATCATCGTAGAGAGGGCATGGAGAACAAGAAAGAAAGAAAGAAGAAAAGCACAAAGAGAGGCCGGAGGCAATACTAAGAGCATA